TTCTCCAGAGAAAAGCTAAAACTCTGTCAACAGAATATTCAAAGTTTGTTGGAGCAGAGGGATAACTTGGAGAGAGAGATAGAACAACAGAAAGTAACAGACAACAGGTGCGTTTAAAATAAACCAACTGGTCTTTGGTACTTTTATTTTGACTAATTTTTTTTTGTCTTTCTGTTTAAAATTGTCAGCGTGGCTTTGTTTCGACTGCGAGCCCAGCATAAGCACCTATGTCAAAAGCTGCAGAGTGAGGAGGAGCTCGAGGGCCACATCAACATTGAGCTGAAGCAACTAGAGTGAGTCCAAGAAGAAAACAGGTCTTGATCTAAGAGGCATTAGTACTGCTAGAAAAGGCCAGCACCCTTATTTGCCGCAGTTATACCACTGCATTGACACTGAGAGCAAACACAGAGGGTGGCAGATAATTTTGTTGCAAGAACAGTGTATTTGTGTTTTGGTTTTTTTTGCATTTGTCAGCATGTAACCAAACGGATTTGCTGTGTTTGGGTGTCTGATAAAGCTTCAAACTCAAAAATGTATTTTTCTAACTGGTCTTCATGGATTGTATTTCAGCACTTCAGTGGTATCCTAGAAAACACACCCACAGCTCTGCAGCCCCTTGTGGGGTTTTTTGTGCACTTTTTAGTCATAAAGCCTGGTTACTCAATAAAGTAATAAAGGCTGTAAACAATTTTGCTGTGTAAAAGATCTGTAAGGAATCCTTTCTCATTCTGCTGTTAGGAAGTGTGGGTTTTTCTAGAGGGAAATAAAATACTGTAATGGTTTCAGTGCAGGTTTAGAAGCTTTTTAAACAATCATACAGCCAGGTTTAAGCTGGCCTCTTATTTGAACGACATTTATAAGATAAATAAAAATAACAGTTTAGAAATAGGATAGAATAGGAATAGTTTGGGTGTTTCACAGTGCAGTGCAAATCTCTGCGTAGTCAAGCTGACTATAAGCTTACAGCTTGTAATGAGAGTATTTCAGTCAGTTAAAAAATGTCAGTATGAAATGTCTCAGAACAGTGTGAAACTGTTAAAGTCAAAACTTTGTATGAAAAGTGTCACCTCTTGGTGAAACTGCCATTGAAAGAAAAGGGCGTGTTTATAGTTTAAAGTAGAGGGATCGGGGATTTTTAATTGCATGTGTTTTCAGGGCTGACAGCTGGCTGATATTGAGGTGGTAATATTCATCGTATTGACTCTACAGATACTTAGTGTTTTTAGAGTTCTCCCATTCATTTTATTCCATCTGCATGCATTTGTCCTTGCTCCTCAGACTGGAGCTGAGTGAGGTGGAAGTTGAGCTTGGCAGATGCTCCTTGCTCCGGCAGGAGGTGCAGGAAGAGGAGCAGCTCTTCCAGGTTCTTAAAGCCCAGAAGGCAGCAACGAGGCTGCAGCAGGAGAGGGAAGCCAGCCAAAACCTGCAACTCAAGATGAAGAATCTGAGGGAGTATGGAAAACAGCCATATTTACCCTCCTAAAAGCTTTGCTTTTTCCCCTGATTTGTTGTCCTTATTATGCATAGAAAATTCAAAACGATTTGTCATTATGTGAATAACTAAGAGTGATGTGTTGCACATAACCTGAGTGAAATGACTCTTGTAGGCACATTTTGTTCCTGTGTATCCATTATATTTAAAGCATGTGATTATTTTCGTGAGAAGCCTCTATCACAAGCCAAAAATAGCCATGTGATGATAACACTCTGTGTGTAAGTGTCTGTGATTCTCTTCTGATAGTAAACAGGCAGCCATGCTAAAGAAAGAGAAGACTGAATGTCAGAGGAAAATCGAAGAGGGCCGAGAGAGCTGCAAAATAGCTGCCAAGTACTTGAAACAGACTGTAAAAAGGTAATCAGCTTTCAAACCAATAAACAGTGTCAGAGGGGTAAAACAAAGATGTGAATTATCTCAGAGGACTCATTGGAGAGCTGGCACGTCCTATTGATCGTTCGCACATCCTGGCAAATTGCATTACAAGCAGAGTAGACATGACACTTGAAAGAGCTCAGATTTATACATCATTGATCTAGCTGAAAGTGATCTGAGAAGACAAAAAATCTATTCAAATCTTGATTTTTCTAAAAATCACTAATTACTCAAGCCATTAGAGTCTGTTCTGGTGTATAATAATTTTGCATGATATTTCACAAATGTAAATTTTAGCACAATTTACACTTCAATTGAACCCATTGTGGAAATGTAGTGAGACCATCATAGGTCCTATTGTATATATTTTTTTATTTGTTAATGGAAACAAATTCTACACAGAAATAGCTGGTGCCTAGAAAGCCAAAAACTATAAAAACTCCAATAAGCCAATAGTTGACCTTGTGGAAATCCCATTTATACATTATGAACACACAATTTTATTAAAGGTTGTAAAAACTACACATACAATTGTATGTATGCTTACCAAATATGTATTTGTCTGTGGCTGAAGATAATCTGAAAATATTTGCTGTTACTTCCAAGTTTATTCCACCTATAAGTTGACTTGAATTCTGTCCTTTTGTACTACTTACGATGTCACCAGTGTAAATTTGGCTCAACCTTGGGTTTTTAATGCCAGGCAATAATAGCACATTTGCTGTTTTCTCTCTGTGCTGTATTTGACATTTTGCGTGCTTAGTTGGTGTCCCCATTTCATTCAGGATGAATCAGCAGGAGGCTGAGAGGGAGCGGCAGAACCAAGAGTTACTGGAAAAGAGGTTACAGGCTGTAAAGTCATTGAAAACTAACATAGAAGCAACCCAAGTAAGCAAAAGAACAGCATAACATTGTGGTTGTTTCATTAATGATGAGATAAAAAAGCCTATATGTTATTATTTTTTTATATCACTACTGTGCTTTTTGGTTACTATAACATCATTTTAAGTGCCTAAATTAACATTTGCATTATGAATTATTTAGCAATGAAGCTATGAAGTCATAGTGATCCAACTAGGCTCACTTTGAGTTGTGTGTGGATATGTACTGTTGACAATGCTTTGTTTTTGTTTATTGCTGTATTTTCTGATTAAACATATGATTCAAGGCAAATTGTGTGTCTAAAGAGAAAATGTCTCTTTGTCTGATGTCTCTGCCTTCAAACAGTCAGTTCAGTCTTAAAGCTGCATGTGGTCGAGTATAGCTTTATTAATCTGCCGTTGTTTCCTTAGGAGAATTTACAGGTCCAGCAAAGCAGAGCCAGAGCTAATGCCCAGAAGAAGGAGCAGCTACAAAGACAACTGAGAGAATCCCTGCAGGCCCAAGGAATCAACAGTATGAAACATATGTACCAGCAGAAACAACAGCAGGAAACAAAACGTAAAGAAGGGTATGTCCTCTCCTCTACTCTCCTCTCCTATCCTCTCCTCTCCCACACGCATGTCCTCCACTCCCACTCCATGCAGCAACGTGTGGGTGTTTTCTCTCACTGTGTGCTGAGGAATGCATGACCCCATTTCAGGATAATGCAGTGTTGTCGATTTACCCTTCTCAGGGAATTTCAGGAGAGTCAGAAGTCAAAAAGAGTGGAGATTGTTTCAAAAATCCTTCAGGAAGAACAGCTGACGAATAGGAGGCAGAGGAAGCCGGCACTGCTACTGCCCAAACCCTCAGCCACTGAGAAGTTCCTATCTCTGAGGAGGGCAAGTGAGAAGCTCCCGTACTACCTGGATTCTGTTCCCCCATCAGCTGCTGAGGAGAAAGCCACTATCGTGAGGGGGAATCTAAGATCTGAGATGCCTACTATGAAATGATTGCTTGGAGGGAATTTTGAGCAATTTATAATGAATCGTTTGTGTGTGTTTGTCTTTGTCCAACAGTTCAGAGATTTCAGTGACACCAGCAGCTCCTCGTCATCGTCAGCTTGCTCTGATGTTGAGGACCTGGAGGGGACTGAGGAAAACGAGGAGAAAGTGAATCACCAGATCCCTACTGACAGCCTGGCTGAGCCTGAATTCTCCGGGCTGTGGGACCAACACATCAAGGTTGACTAAAACAACAGGCGACCAAAAGCAAACCTATGCAACCTGCTAAATTTAAATGGCCATAAATCACGTACCATTCAGCAGGCACATTAATATCCTAAAGATTGCACTCGAGACTCCTGCTGGTTGGAGCATGTGCATTAGACTGGAATGGGAATAACTCAGCATGGTCACAGTGAAGCTTGTTTAGGCAGGTGAAAAGAGACGCCATACACATACACATAAGCTCTGTACAAAGAGTCAGCAGTCAGGCCTCAGTGCTGAGGGAACAAGGTAGAGCTCTGTTTTTGAAAACTTGTGTTATTTATTTGGCAATAAATAGTAGATAGTACTAATGGCATTAATAATGATTCTGAAAGCATTAATGTGATTAGTCACATTAAAGAGAGCACTGTTTACATTTTAGAAATCGACAGCTAGCCAATTTTTTCCCATTTGTACATAAGCAATTGCAAGGCTTTCCATCCATCATACTCTAGACAACAACTACAGCTTAGCTAATATTTTAATATATATTTCAATATACAGTATATATAAAATAAGTCAAATTGAGTTGTGTTGATCATATCAGCATTGGCCTACAGTGACAATTTTGAGATCGTTCCATGGGAGTTGACGTTAAAGGTGAAAGTTTCTACACTAGCTGACTGACATGAAGATGAGAAGCCTCTGTGTCTAATCTGGAGCCCCAGCGCTCTTGAAATGTGGGGCGACGGACATCACTTCTCATTGTGAGCCCAGAGCAAGCGTAGCGTTGCAGCTCAGAGGTCTGAGCGAGTGACAAGCCAAGTGGAAGTGATCTCTCCTCCTAAAATACAGATCAGACTGACGCCCTCATCAAAGGGTACTTTTCAACACAGCCAGCACAACAGCAGAGCAGAGCGATACAATAAAGCTAATGAGATGATTCATGAGGGGGAGAACAGTGATTAAATGTCAACACGTCACTTTGTAACAAAGTTATAAAAGCGCTCTACAGTGCAGAATAAAGCATGGACGGAATAAAAATACAAAACGCTGAATAAGGCAGCCTTGTAAACCACACCAATACCACTAGTATCAAATCCACTATCTTGATCCATAATGATATCTATCCGTTTTCTACCAATTATCTAATTCAGTGTCAGGGGGTTGGGGGAGAAGGGTATTATTTATGACATAAAGCTCACACACTATTTTTAGACAACTGTGATAACATGTAGTAAGTATGACTCTTGAAAATCAAGTTTTGGTTAGATATCCTTTATTAATCCTGACAGAGCAACTCATTCCCTCCATTTAATCCATCCTTACTAGGAGCAGTGGGCAGTGCCTCTGCAGCCAGTGCTCCAGCTGTAAGCATATGGTCAAGGGCACAGTGACAGGAGAATTAACTTAGCATGTTTTTGATGGCAAGAGAAACTGGAGCCAGAGTGCTGTGTACATGCCTGTGCCCTAAGGTGAAGGTATTTTAAAATAACCTCGTGCCCAAGTTAATTTCTAACACTAGAAAAACATGTTCGCTATACAGTATGTTGGATGTGTTAGACCAAGCCTAAAAATGATTTAAACTTCCAACTATTGAATAACAAAAACACCTTAAGAAAACTTTTTGGACGATGAAGTTACCTGTTGTTTTATCACCATACAAACTCCTACATGTTCTATTCCAGGAATGTCAAACTCATTTTACATATTACAAGTGGACGGGACCATGAAACTCCTCTATCTGTTGGTGTAAATGAGTTTAACTCCACATTTAATCCTTCAGATAATTTAAAATAAGAAAAAGAAGAGCAATTTCAACAGTAGTTTCCCAGTTTTTCTACATGGCAGAGAAATGAAGGATGCCTCTGGGTTTAAATTATAAGAAATTATGATCCAGAAAAATGATTTCCCTTTTCTTTTTTTTTCTTTTTTTTTGTACTGTGGATCCATTTGGCTGCAATCTTTGAGTATCTTATAGTAGATTATTACTAATTAGCAGTTGTTGCTTTGCTTGTGTGGTTACAGAAAATGCCCAATGAGAATACTACACTGGTGCAAACACAACTGAGGCAAGAAAAACCTCCAATAGCGAGTGGAAAGCTCAATATGACTGCTAAAAGAAATCGTGGAAAAGAGTTAAAAGGGCCTCCATTCATTAGTAAACCAGAGGTCATCCTCTTCAAGGTATGAGGGGTTTTTTCAGTCCCAAAACACAAAAATGTATGTCTTTATTTTATTGTAGAATCTTTACCTTAAAATATAAAGTGCTATAAGGTAACTGCTGTTGTGATTTGGCACTATATAAGTAAAACTGAACTGAACTGAATTATTAAATTAAATGTTTTGGTCTATTTTAGGACTTTGATGTGGGAAAAATGTACAAGAAGAAAATTGTCCTGACTAATATCAGCTACGCAGTTATTAACTGCAAGTTTCTCGGGGTCTCCCCTCACTTGAAGAACTTTTTCACCATCAAGTAAGTTTTGTGTTTTATTAATTATAACAGCTATAACAGTAAACAAAGAAAGACCGAAAGTATTTGTTTTAGGCAACAATTTTAGGAAAATCTTTCTAAAATTCTCAATAGGCAATTTTACCATATTGAGGTTGATTCAGGAAGAGCCAATTACTCCAGTTCTACGAATCATGACAGACAAAGTAAATGTCTCTGAAGGGAAAACCAACATAGCATAGCATCAAGCAGCCCACTAGAACCCCTACTGAATCCCAGCTGAGGACAAAATAGATATATTTATCTCATAGAGATGAGAGAGACACCGGGGGGGGGACTGCATTAACGCAGCGGTGTTGCTTCATGGTTGTGCTCGTTTGCGGGTTAGAGTATTGAAGTGGTCGGGAAATCTGGTTTCAGACATCTGATAGTGTGGCACCAGAAACGGATAAAATTCCAGAAATCAAACATTAAAGGTCTGTTGTGATAAACTCCCATATGTATTAAACCGCTTCAGTTGTCACATTGAAACATCTGGTCGTGCATCACCATTTAGCAACCACTTCTTGTCATTTTTTAAAATATGATGTGGAGTGGTCGTGAAAGAAAAGCCTATCCTCCCACATATGGATGCCAGCTTGGATCACCACGCTCACAGCTCCTCTTACGAGGCTCAGCTACATGAGTCAGTCCATGTCTCTTCTATCTCCTCTCTATCAGCATGCCAGCAGCCCACAGGCCGAGCAGAGATGCATTGTTCTCCAGGTCACTCACTGTGTATCACTTTCCCATCAGCTCTCCCATAGCTTGATGTGGTTTCTTCATCTCTTTTCTTTCTGCCTGACTGAGTTGAAGAGTCTCGCAGGCTACAGCAGGGTCAGCTTGAACACTACTGATGCCGTTCTCGAGCTTTAGTGCAGGACCACTTGTCTGAACGTATCACCTTCTACATGCGAGTTCTCAATTGCAAACTCACATGTACAAAATGCACTTAAATACCAAATGGGTAAATGCAGGCATACTGTATACAACGCATAACACTCACTGCTTTTCTAGTATCTTCCTTTTATTTGAGAGAAGTAAAGTTGGTCGTCTCTTTGATTTTATTGATTTTACTTGTAGGTGCACATATTATAGTTTCACATTAGCTTCACATTTGCAGACATCAGATTAGTTCTACAGCACTAAAATAATAAACGCTGCGCCTGCTTTTCGTTCATTTTAATCACAACAAAATAAAAATAAGAATGTGTGAAAATTTTGAATTCATAAATTGTAACACAAAGCTCTAGTCAATTCAGTACATTCAGGCTTTCTGTTAATACAGCCTTACAAGGTCTGATATGCTCTATTACTCATTGTGGCTAACCTCCCATTAACCATCATGATACTACATGTCATGCTGTTGGATGACCATCCCCCAAATCCTGGACATTTTAATCACTTGATGCCTCATTAAATTTGTTACAGGAAGACAGCTGAAAATCTGAAATAACCAGATGGTAGGCAATCCGCATAGCAACCTATTGTATAAAGTGAGGAAAATGTATTCAAGCATATGCAGAGCAATAATAATATGAGCTCTCAAGGTTTAAAAAATAGCAGTTACTTCACAGCTGTTTGGTGTTGTTTTTGTGGTTTTACAAATAGAAGAATGCTATGTGGTTATAAGGTCCAAACCTGTGTTACATACTCGGAAAGCCCTGGATCAGGAGTTGATGGTTGGTGTTTGCAAAATAATCTTTGAATCTTTGAATTAGAAAAATGTAAATGCTCTTTACAAAACTATATTTAAAAAATTCAACTAAATAAAATAAGTTTACATTATATTTGGGATTTGTAGGCAACGGGGTAGAAAGTGAGTAAAAGTATATCATGGCCAGAGTTTCAGCAAAACAATAAAAATACTTGGAGTGAGGCTCCAAGTATTTTTCATGAATTCATTCATTCAAATGTTAACCCTAAACCTACAATTCAAGAATAAAATACATTATTATTATTATTAGATTACTTTCTCTCTGGCAATTTAATGATACATGCTCAAAAGGTACCTTACCTGTGAAGACATAAATGTTATCATACACTGATCATCCATAACATTATCACCACTGACAGGTAACGTAAGTAACACTGATCATCTCTTCATCATGGCACCTATTATTTGGTGAAATATATTTTGTCCAGCAAATGAACACTTTGTCCTGAAAGTTGATGTGTTAGAAGCAGGAATTGTACTAAAACTACTCTTGTGGGGTGTTTCTGCACTGCAGTGCTCAGTATCTAACAAAAGTGGTCCAAGGAAGAAACAGTGGTGAGTCAGTGACAGGGTCATGAGAGGGGAGTGGGCTCGTGTGGTCCGATCTAACAGACAAGCTACTGAAGTTCACGGTGGTTCTGATAGAGAAGTGTCAGAATAGACAGTGCATCACAATTTGTTGTCTATGGGCTGTATAGCTACGGAGCAGTCAAGGTGTCCGTGCTGACCCCCGTCTACTGCTTAAAGCGCCACCAACAAAAAAATGTTCTTGTCTTAGTTTTTATGACATTATAATAAAAATTTTACTACAGCACTGTTGGTTACATCATACTGCAGTCACAGTAGTGATATCAAATGGTTGGAATGATCGTTAAATTTAATATCAAGTTTACATGGTACTACTGTAAATTGTAAGCACCTTGTCACTGTATTTATCAGAATCACAAACTGCACCAGGATCATAAGCAAAACAGCCTAGAAAAAAAATGCTAAGTGGTGTCAGAAATCCTCGGTTTTACAAACTGAGTCACGCTCATACATCCTGACGAATGAATGCACCTGTTATACACCCTCCCTGTATTTTTCAGTGCCTGTTGTGTGTAATTATTCACACATGAAACCACACAGTATTGAGATCAGTCGTGACAACTGAAAAATCATCATGGCTCACCCAGCTAAAAACATTAGCACAGCTAGAGAGAGAACCAGGAACCAGGAACACACTAGACTTTTTCACACCAGCCCATGGTTCCCTGTACGCCCCCTGAATTTCTAAAATTGGCTTCGTTTCCCCCGACACCCCCTGCCCAGCGTAGGTGCATTTGTGCCACAATGGGCTCTGCTGTATCTTTTCACTACTGGTGCAAAAACCACAACAGCCTGGGCTTGCCACATTTGGTGAAAAGCCAGTGCATAGAAGTTGTGTTTTTGTAGTTAGTGCCACATCCTAGCATGTTACTGCAAAGGACTGGCTTAGAGGAAGACACCCCTCTGTGGCGTGTATGTTCCTGAGATCAGTTGTGAGAGAAAGCCGTGGACTGTCGTAGAAATGGTGGTACTCGGCAGATACTGAGGGTGTGATCACACGTACGGTTTGTTTCATTTGGTTCAGTCGTTTGGAAGTTTGTTACTGACAAAACTATTCACAGTGGTGACAAAGTAAAAGAGGACCCTTTAAGCCCAACTGCAATTACATTTAATGTCGAGATTTCCTCAATCCTGATAAACCCAATCTGATGAAAACACTGAAAACCATATCAAACCTAAACTGAAATTTGGTCTATTTAAATCAAGAACTGCCATAAATACAGAGACAACATTATCACTTGCACTGCTAATTAATAACCAGATCAAAAAGTACTGCTTTATATGTCATTTGACCTTTTTTTTTTTTCCAATTTAGACTCAAACTGTTTTTAAAAACCTGAAGTCTCATTTACACTGCATTGTAATGGATTTAACTGTACTATTTGTTTAACTGTATATTATGCTTTTGTCTTGTTTGCTTGTTGTCTTGTTCTCTCCTTTTTTCTGAAGCAAAGTTTGCTTTCATGCTGTTTAGGAGGCACATGTGCATCTTTGTCTTCTATCTTCTGTGGAAAAAACAAAAAAACAAAACAAAATATGAGAAAGTCCAGATGAGCCAAATTGGGCTTTCCCATGCATTGAAACATTAGCCTTAATTTTTCTCTTGTGCCTATTATCATACAGCAGCATACAATCAGAGCTATCATTCAGAGTGAGAGGAAAAGTTATTACACAGGAAAAATAGGATCCTACCGCAGTAAGATCAAATTCAGCGCAGTCCTGGTCCATCCAGGCTTAAATTTTATTCACATTTTCTAAGAAACAAAAAAAAGATGATCCAAGAAAAAAAACCCTGGCTGTCTGAGAAAAGCCCTTAATAAATGAACTTTACTTAATAGATGTGATATGTTCTCTTTGGTGTATTCAGTGTTATTCTCTTGCATTTTGTTTCTATAAAATATGGTCCTTTGTGGCTTCGGTTTGATTTCATTTGTTTTTTGTTACTATATTTGCATTTAACAGTAGCTCTCAACATAACGCATATGACTGACATTACCCATATGGAAAAGAAACTTATAAAAGACTTGCATAAGATGTGGCCTACTTCATATAGTGAATCATGTAAGGCTTATATGATTTACTCATGAAAGTGGCCACTTTCTCATTACTTTCATATATTGTTTTAGTAAGTATCCAAACATAAGAATTTCATTTATATAATTTTTCAAGGGATCTTATATCTGTTTTCACTCTTGTATGCTTTTCATACAAGTTTCACACAAGACAGATGCAAAGTTTATAAGATTTATATATATCTTTTCCATATGGGTAACACTCGCTAACAGGCTGCAGCCTGAGACACAACACAGCAAGACTAACATAGAATCCTGTTAACAAGTAATTAATCAGTCCTGCGTTGACAACGCAGGCTACCGAAAGCATATTTTTACTTTAGCCTAGTTTTCTGTCTTTTACACACACAGTATATGCATGTATAGGAGCAGCTGCGGTTCTAAGACCTGTGCATAGTCAGCAGTACTTATCTTTGAGCAAATACTAATAAGGTCTAAACTAACCTGCTGATGGTAAGCAAGCAAGTAGTAGAAATGTCTAATTTGCAGAAGTTAAGGGTTTTTTTGGTCATAGTATTTAATTGTGGCCTGGGGATGGCACTGGAAAAGTTACTGAATCGGAGAGCCAACTCATTAGAGACATCCTGCTGTGACAAAAAATGTCTGTGGACTTAATGGAAAATCATCCAATGGTTCTGGGGACAGTTTATCCAGACTCGGAAGCAAAAACTAGTCCTACACCCACTGTCACCCATGAATGCCAAATGTATGGTGACAATGGGTGTGAAAAGTCACAAAAGTCAGTAGGTTTTATCTTCCAAGGACGCTTAAACGTTTGTATGCCAGAACAACGTTTATAGAATGCCGTCAGTGTCAGTCGAACATTAACGTGGAGTCTTTCTTATATTTAAACTCAAACTTCGAGTTTCACCTGCTCTTCTAAAGGGCTCTATCACCCGTTTGATTCCTGTAAAAGATTTTTTCACACTGTATAATTGAAGATCCTTAGACAGCCTTATGTATTATGCTTGTATCCAATTGAAACCATCAAGTTGACAAAGTTAGTTTCGTCTTCTCAACTGCCTGAAAACTGTCAAAGTTCATTTCAGTGACTGACATGAGAAAACCACACTGCACTTAACTGAGTCTGTTGTTTTATTAATCGCCCTCTTGGTAGTCTGTCTGTGTCTGTCCATTTAAAAACATCCAAATATGAGCACCAGTCAGCGCTGCAGTTAGACTTAAGTTCTGTGACAGGCCCATATTTATTTCAGCCATCTGCCTGAGTGTCTTTTCAAGCAGCTTCACTTTGTTTTTTGATAGATTAAAAAAGTATAACCTGCCTAAAGATTTAGTCAGCCTTAAAAAGTTGCAGCTTTTATATGTTGTCTAAAACTGTGAAAAGATTTGTGCATTATTGTACTTTGTAGCCACCTGATATAAAGAGAACCAGATCTCACTTCAGAACAATTAGCACAAGAGAAAGATTATTCAAGTACTATTGACACACATGAGACAGAGTTTTCATGCTTCTCAGTAAATTGCTTTCAGAAGTGGTTGCGTGTGACTATGAGGGTGTTTTAGCTATGCTGAACTGAATTATGGACAGAGACTCCTTATTGATTTACTATAGTAGAAGCCAATGAGGACAAGAATGTATAATTTAACCAAGAGTATAGTCAGTACTACTGTATAACAAAGCTTCACCACCTCAGTCCTCTTCAGTAGATATTAAAGGATAAAAACTGTACAGTATGGCCTCATTTGAAGCGATTTATATAGGGCTGTAGCAGGCTTTTTCAAAGACTGCCTCATTCAGAATTTAATCCCAAGTGAACTGTTCTATTTTCCTTCATATCCCTTCATACCAGCTGTCTTGAAGCTAGGAAGAATAGCACCAATAAAGTGGGAAATCTGACCAGGGAAAAAAAGATGAATGTGCAATGTGACATTTACTACCAGATTTACTCAGGTGGAGTTCTTTCATAGATTTCCAGATCACAGTGGTGAGCTGGATGGCAGCTTCAGCCAGGCTGCTCCAAGTTTTTTACCTGGCAACTGGACCAACAACTTCAAACAACTGCCTTAAGCTAAACTGAATGTCCCTTTGCTCACTGGAGTTGATGATAGTGCACATTATTATACTGTGGTTATAGGTTGTTTGCCGTTTAACTGTGTTTTTTTGTGTGTAGTATTTTTGACGTGTGTGCGTGTGAGACAGTCAATCCTACAAACAAAAAACACAGATGTTCTCTTTTTAGTTCATCAAATAGAAGCTGAAGGGCTTGAATGCTTATGTTTCTTATTCACGAAGCAATGCAACAACCAAAACAACATGAACATATTCTACAAAAACAAAACAGTAACGGCACATGAAACTTGCTATAAAAACTAGAAGCTCAACATAAGCTTATTTCCATATTCTTTTCTTATTGTTTTGGGTCTGTATTCCTCGTGTCAACAGAAAGAAAGCTGTAATGTTCATTCTGCTTTTTAACAGAGCTTAAAAAAATGGATGTGAGGCAGAGCGAGAAAAACTTGTATGAATCTCTTCAGAGACTCAGCTCTTCTCTTTTCAGACAAAGACGTTCACTTGGCACCAAGGTGCTCTCATCTACAAACAAAAATCCAGCTACGTCTTTAAATGTAGATTAAAGTTTACTATCACAGCAACAGGATCATAGTATTTTTCAAGCCCAACAACAGTTCGTTTAGGATCTGGTATATATTCTGTAACTGTAGCTGACTCCTAATTATGCACATAGTTCCAACTTCTTGTTTATTTATTGAATTTTGAGAATTCGCCTTGCTTCCCTGGCCGCCTGCCTGCTATATTTATATTGATCGGGCCTCTTCTCGTGTCTCTCAAAGGGCAGCAAGTTATCAAGCTCCTCGGGGCAGCATTAGGGTTTGTGCGAACATGTGCTGTGAGATACACATGTTGGTTTGAAATAGCTCACAGTCCTCATGTTTGTTTTCTTATTTGGAAATAGAATTTTTACTTACTTGTATGATTTCCCCTGCAATATAATAAGGATTAACTGCTATATTTTGTCTAACTATGGATTCCACTTTACATGGCTTTCATATAGAATAGTAGATTTTTGTTTCACTTTGTTTTCTTTGGCTTGTCAAGTGAGCATCAGGTTTACTTTTGACATTAGCTTATTCATTATAGTTTAGTATTTTATTTAGAGCTGCTAATCGTTTGTTGAAAACAGCAAATTTGCTGTACTATATTATTGCTGTCATACTCAGCCAGTCACAACAGATGGCTGCCCCTACCTGAGCCTTGCTCTGCTAGAGGTTTCTTCCTGTTAAAAGGGAGTTTTTTTCTCTCACTGTTGCCAAGTCCTTGCTCAAAGGGAGTCATTTGATTGTTGGGGTATCCTCTGTATAATTGTAGGGTTTTTACCTTCAAGGCAAATGCTGTTATATGTCTGTGAAGGTTCTCAGTCATCCAGGTCATCGTAGTCAAAGGAGCTTGCAGAGAAAAGCGTCTGGACTTCTTTAAGTTGCTTGAAGACGTTTCACCTCTCATCCGAGAAGCTTCTTCAGTTCTAAGGTCAAATGGTGGAGAGTCCCAGATATAAACCTACTATGAAGGGGGGGGGGGTTACTCCCACTAGGTTTATATCTGGGACTCTCCACCATTTGACCTTAGAACTGAAGAAGCTTCTCGGATGAGAGGTGAAACGTCTTCAAGCAACTTAAAGAAGTCCAGAGCTTTTCTCTGCAAGCTCCTTTGACAAATGCTGTTATACTTTAAATTTTGTTGCTAATCATACACTTCTTTATACCTCTACCAGAGCTTTGCATTAAACAGTAATATCCAATATCATGTTGTAATGTGACTCACTTTTTAAGCTGTGATCAAAAAATGAAAATAATCTTCAACTTTCTGGCATTTGTGTTTCAGCTTCCAGCCTCCTACTTTGTTATCCACCGGGATGTCATTTGACATGCAGGCTATTTTCCAGCCAATGGTTTGTAGCATCACCACTGCCTTTAAACATCTATACTTATTTTTTTCTTTAATCTTTATTTTCATCAAAAACTATTTCAGTGGTTATCACCTGTTGTTTCTTTTTAACTTTTGAAATCATACTTACTGTACAAATACTCAATAATAGGAATGAAATTAAGTATTTCTCTGAAGATTAATTGTGTGGTATCTTCCCTGTTTTATCACATGGAATAACTTAAACACAACATGCTAAATAATGAGTCTTTTACAGCAGGTGGATATTTTTTGCTGGCCAAAGTAGCTTCTTCCCGATTTGCCATACACGTAATGGCGTGAGGTTGTTAATTATCCTATCATCTTTCCTGCAAAAGTGTTCTCTGTAAGTGTCTTTCTTAAAATGTTGTGTTCTTCCTTCAAGATGAGTCATCTTATTTAAGATTTGGTTCCACATCCTTTGCAGCAAACAACTCATACAACTCCTCCACTGCCCCACTCTTTGTTTTAGCATCAAATTTTCTGCCGCTTGATCAAACATGAAGCCTTTGCTTTTGCTTACCACAAAATCATTATCTAATCTCTGCAGATCAACGAGGACTTGGAAGGAGAGCTCCAGTTTGCATCAGCTCTGGGTCCCTTCTTTGTGCCCATCAGATGCACTGTAAAGAAATGTATTGTGAGTAGTGAGCTATAGCCAAAGTTTTTGGTAATTACAGATAACTGCTAATTCTGATTTCATAAGCTTGCGTCTTGTGTGTATTTTGTGATGTGAATTTCTTGTCCAGTCTTGCTGTAGCTTTTTACCCTTATAAATTTAGCTCTAATAATTATTTAGGGAAATGAATTTGTGGCTAAACCAATCACACTGCATGGTCACACCACAGAAAAAAACACTGACTGCCTTTTTATTTTTGCTCACTGTCTTATTTAATCAGCTTTCTGTGAATTAATGTATGTAAAACTATGTACTTTGCCTGGCAGCTGTTCACTGACATTGCTAATTACAGGATGTGACTATACTCTTTCTCTAGCTGAAGGTTGACAGCCAGTTTATTGACTTTGGTTCGCACGTTGTGGGCCAGACTATTTCACGGACCATCACACTGACCAACAAGGGTGCACTGGCCACGCATTTCAGCCTGGACAGCTCCACATGTCTCAGTCCAGAAACGAGCTACGTCCAGATGCCACCACAGGTCTCTACCAACACATATGAGGTCAGCTGTTTATGTGGACTGTAAGAGCTAATGTTTCTTGGATACATTAAAGGAGAAACTCCAATATAGCTAATAAAAAAGTCAATTGTTCCTGCTTTTTTTCCATATACATTATACTGCTATTTTGTCTGTAGATTGAACAAGCAAAAGATTTTGAAACCACTGAAAAAAATTGGCATTCATTATTTTCACATGAGAGAATTCCAAAGCTTCTGTCTCAGGATGCCCATACCAGATATTATGGGTAAAAATAAATGAATATATTTGCCTGTTTGTTTATCTGAATAAGGCATCCAGTCAAAACACAGCAACTAACAACCAGAACAGCCCTGAATCCATTGATGCTGAAGATGTCCAATCAAAGCTACAGAGTCGGGAGCTCTCTGCAGGAGAACAGCAAGAACAATCAGGTAAAATATGGACACACACATGACATGATTATCCATCACAGTTTGTGTCCTGAACTAGAAAAACTGAAATCTAAACTACAATACATAATAGCATGAATTCAAAACTGGGCACTCTGTCTTTCTTTTCCCAAATGATTGTCAGTGTGTTTTACTCATGATAAGCACAGGACATGCTAAAATACCAGAATAGCAGTTTTTGATTCTTTGAGTAAAAAGTGCCCCAATGTTGACTGGAGAGACTGTAATGATTTTAGTTAATTTGGTTAATTTGTGCTCTAGTCCTGCTTTTTGGTGATAAAACTTCCCCTAGTGTTATAATCAGCTCATTTTTTTTGTCTAATGCATTTGTTTATGATCTTATTATTATTATGTCCTTACATGCAAAGTATTCTGACTCTGATTATTAGCCACAGAGTTAGGCTAATTTGTATTTAGTACTGTTTTCGCCAGGTATTAGCATGCTAACGCGCTAAACTAAGATGGTGAACAAGGTTAAATCAGTATATTGTATTCTGTCATTAGCATGCTGTGCAAACACAGCACCACCTTGGTGAGTGATTATAATATGTGGGAGACAGAGAGACAGTGTTACCCTGAAACAGTCTCTGGAAGGAAAATGAGGACTGACAACATCTCCTCGTGGTAGATGATTTCTTTTTTCCTCTGTCTCTCTATTCCTGTTAGGACATTGAGTCCTTGTAAGAACGAAAATAAAAGAACACACACACACAAAGCGGAGGGTTCACCTTGCTCTTACAGCTGATGACAACAAGGCATCTTCTCTTTCGTGTTCTCGCAGATCTGAAGTCTACATCACTGCACTCAGCACTTCCTGCTGCTGATGCTTTGATAAGCTGCTCAGTCTTTTGCCTCTGCTCTGCTGGCTTTGGAAATTCTGTGTTGAAGTGGCTCCGACTCTGTTTCTTTATTTTATCTCTATTGTCGAGAAAGGCTCTTGGATGTTGGACCAATTTTGAGGCTGTTGATGTTCCTTTCTGAAGCTGACTGTAGTACATTTTGTCCAATATGTTTTCTGTGTCACAGATTAGTAAATAAAGGTCAGATTGCAGATTGGCATAAAAATGTTCCACACGTGTCCAAGAGGAAAAACAGTGTTATTTGTCAGAGGGCCTATTTGTCTGGATTTAAATGATATTTCAAATTTTCCTCCAGCGTACACTAAAAATACTGCTACAATGAGGCCAAGTATTACTTCTTCTTACTTATCACTTATTACTCTGCTCTTCCATCAACCAATTACAGGTTCACCATTATTGTTTTAGTGTTAGTCCGTACAAGGTGCCCACTTAGAGTAACTGCTCAACAATAAAACTTTGAGATGACTTGCATTTGTGACTTTTATCTGTGTGTATGGCAGTGTCAGAGGGTGTGAAAACTGTTCCTGGAGCTTGTCTTTCATCTGATTTGGACACTCAGACAGACCAGACCCCCTCAGACTCCAGTGACATAAAACTAAGAGATGTAAGTTTTCAGTCCTACTTCAAAAAGGACACCGGCCCTCATGGACTGGGATTGGGGACCGCTGTTCTAAAGTATTCTTTTATCTATTAAATATCCAGAAATAGCATAGACTGGAAAATGCATAGACTTCTGTTAAGTAAGGTAACTATACAGAGTTTTGCAAAGTCATACCCCAAAAGCTCATTACGAGGTCGCAAGAAGCCCGGTCTTTTGTGCTGAAACACATTTTGCCTGGGCTAGTTACAGCTATACATTAATATTTATAGTCTGGTATACAATTGTTGCTAGTAGTAGTACTGTTATGTAATCTAGCTTTGGTGTTTCTGTGGTTTCATAGAAAAAACCCTCATGACTATGATATACTGGTAGTTTTTCAATATGTTGTTTTTTGAGATTCAGTAAACAACATATTGTATATTTGACTGCTCTTAGGAAGATAGAACAAGACTTGAGGATAGTCTTGTAGGAAGAAAGTCAGCATGTCTGTTCTAATAGCGACAGGCTGAATTAAATTAAAGTATTGAGTCAAGGGTGAGGGCTGTGAGTCAGTCAAAAATGGTCCATCTTCTTTGGAGCATGAATCTTCTTCTTGTCAAATCATAAAGGGACTGCATTTTTATAGCTGAGGTGCCAGAAATCTGCCCAGATTCTGAAAAATTTTGAGTGGAAAGTCGACATTTTGTCACTATTGTGTGTCGTTGAAAGACTCTGCTTCTCTGTTTTGTTTTTAGCAATGATGCTGTGTGTGCCTTGTGGCCCATGTGAAATTCTAGACTTTTCAGGGTTCATTACGTCTCTCTGGTGGGGGGCTAATGGTGCATCACCTCTCCCTCTGCTATTATTGCGACTGTGTGTGTTGCGTGCGCCTGCATGCCCTCGGCTCGATCGTTGTCATTTTGACTGATATTTTCACATTGTGTGGTTGAAGGCTGGTGTCTTAAATGGCAGATTATCCATCAAACTATCATGATGCCACAGTACTGAGGCACTTGCTGCATCATTGGTTTATTACTCATTTTCGTTTATTACGCTCTCACCACCTTGACAGTTTGCCTTCACTGTATGTACACGAGTGTATGCCTGCATACCTTTTAATGTTACATAACTGCACCACAGCTTTCACTTTCTCCTTCATGTATAGGAATACCTTTGTGTCATCAGGTAAAACTAAACTTTTGTCAGTATAAAGATGTGTAACTACACATTTAATGTAAGAGAAGTGCAGTATCAACAGTATGTCTGTCCATGTTCAGGTACGCGGGGGAGAGATCGGGTCATTTGAAAGTGTCAAACTGGAAATTATTTTCACTCCAACCATTCCAGGAGAGACCAGACTGGACTTCTCCTTTAAATTCTCTGATAAAACCAGCAAACCAGTAAGAAACAGCTTGTTTTTTAGTCTTGTGAATTACTTAGGAAGCAGACACATTTATAGTTTACAAAGCCATAGAGTAAATGAATCAAATGATATGTTTAGTGCATGTGACTGAGGACTCATTCAAACAGATACCCATCCATGTGAGAGGTGTGGCAGTCAGCATGCCTGTATGGGTACTTCAGCCCAACATTGACCTAAAGATCTGCATGTTTGACCGCCTTTATCAAGACACCATCATTGTCCAAAGCAGGTAAGTCCCAGAGCCTGAGATGGTTGTAAACCTTCTCATCTGGTCAAGCTGATGTCCAGCTGTTTCACATTTAGAAGGAACTCATTACTTTGTTTCAGAAGGTCTACACATCAACCTCTTATGCACAAGTGACAGTTTATTACAATTTGTTGAATGCTTACACAATGTAGTGGTCTTTAACGCTAAGTATTGGAACAAAGTGTATAAAACCATTCGTTATCACTAGTTTCCAAGGTGATTTGCATCTGAAGTTAAAACAGTGACCAATTCAGAATTCATTAGATTTACATTACATCTTAGTTCTACGTGTATTTAAAAAAAAAAAAAAGCACAAAAAAAACAACACATTTTTTGTTTTTTTGTTTGCAAAAAAAATAACTTAGCTACAACTTTCCCCACTCTCTTTAGAGTTTGTAAGAATTAGCAAGGAAATGTTATAGAGTAGTTTCATAACTGAATACATTTTTTTAAAGGATAAGAATGTTCAGTTAAGTACAGGACATCTCAAATAGTTTTGTATCTGAGACATTTAATGTTTATAATAATGGATTGGATTTATATAGCGCTTTTCAAGGCACCCAAAGCGCTTTACAATTCCACTATTCATTCACTCTCACATTCACACACTGAAAACTAAAGCACCCTTGTATCCATACATTTGTAATAATCATCAGCGTTATGTGTTGTATTGCTAACAAGGCATGCTATTCTGCATGACCAATGACAACTAGAGTCTCAAGAAAAGTTAAGTGTAAGAGTTGTGAAGCTGACCTCAGCGTGGGATAAACAATGGCTTTTACCCTTCAGTCATAAAAGGCTGGTGTGTGTGTGTGTGTGTGTGTGTGTGTGTGTGTGTGTGTGTGTGTGTGTGTGTGTGTAATACTAGTTTAAGTCATTTTAATTACTTAATTACATGAGACTAAAGCCTAAACACTGTGTGAACAGTGTATAACAATAATATGACAGATTTAGACATACAATAGTAATATGACAGTATAAGGTACCTGTCTCTGGGTAAAGTGCAATATGAAACAATTTAGTACCATGTTTATATGCATGTCAGTTAAGAGTGTTATTATAATAGCCACTTTTGTAGACATTTAACCAACGCAACATTATGCAACAGGTGGCCTGTTAAAGCGTCTTCATCACAATAAAATGTCTAATTTGGTAGAAAGACTATATAGATAGCCATGACAGCATATGGCAGAGAAACAGATTATGCTCTGTTCCAGTATGTGATGCAAGAATACTGCTTAAGGCTTGTTTAACATTATGGTGGCATTTAATACATAGAGGGAAAGATCTGTGTTTCTTTCTTTAGACGTTTTTCAAATATATGCCCAGACTGATAAAAAAAAAAAAGCACGTGGAATTTATCTTTTTGAAAGTCAGTGGATGCACTAAAAGCATATGAGAACATATAAGCACATAGCTGTCTTTGTAAGAGCTGTGCAAAGTCAGTGTGATGTGAACCAATGCTTTTCTCTGTACTGCAGCGTATTACTGTGAAAATTGCCTAATGCACAGCCAGTAGACATGTGTTTCTAGGAAACAAGTCATGCAAAAAGAAGTACACTGCCCGGGTTTACAAAAACAACATAACTTCAGTAAATTCATGAACACCAAATCCTAAAAAGTGGTTGTCCCCTCAGTGTTTTACAAAATACATACAAGAGTGAGGCCAGCAGGGTAATGATTTTTACTAAATAGCCCTTTCATCCACCCAGCCCATATAAGTCTCTTAACTGTTGCCTATATTGTTAGAATATTATTTTAACTGAAGGAATGAAATGCATCTTAAAGTTTATATTTTTAACAAGATATACGAAACCCTCAACCTAGAAATGAGTGGTGCATGTCATATTCCCATTTTATTTGTTGCTATGCTCAGAAACATCCTTGAAATAGAGTTTGGAAAGTGGCGTGGACTGCTGATGTAGCATGCTGGCTTATCTGCTGAATGCACTACTAAAACTCCCTCATATACTCAGTCTCTGCCAAAACAGACATTTTCACAGCAAAACGGCTCAAGGAAATCCCTTAAAATTGACAGGGCCCGCTTACTTTTCAGTCCAACATCAAACTCTCCGCCTAACTACGCTTACAGCCAAGTAGCGCTTTGAGACATTTAACAATTCAACGCGTGGATGAAATATAATAGAGATGAATTAACGGATAAATGTTCCTAAACAAAGCATGGCATCGCCACAGTCCTCTTTGACCGATACTGTAGCACAGAACAGAAGTAAATCCTCTTTGATTATGGATGTGATGCATTATGATGAGCACATGAGGTTAGGAATACACCAGGGGCAGTAGCATTTGCAGCAGTGAGGTCCATCACCTAGCCAGTCATTGTATCACATCATGTGGGGGAGGTAGTGCATGTGTGGGGGTAGGGGATTTGTGACAAATGCCATCTGGTCCGCTGGCACACCAGCACGTGTGACAACATGACGATGACAGTGTCAGTGTGAAGTGCAGCTTTTAAAGTAAAAAAAAAAATGCTAATGCTTGCACCAGCAAACCGTGCAATATGTCACTCTGCCTCCAAGACAATAATTTGAACACAAAATAGCTTGGCAGGCTTTTGGGGGGAAAACAATAGGAGAGCTGCTGCTTTCATCATGGAATTTGTCACTTTTTTTTTCTTTAAGTAGTTAGTAGATATCCCACAAGTCCTCCCAAGTTTGTGACAGATTTTTTAAGAGAAAAGCACAAAGCATAATTGAATATGTCCATCTTGTCTGTGAGCCAGTGATTGGAATATCACTCCTACTAATTGAAAGTATTTTTTTAGGAAGCTTTAAAATGTGCAGTGTTTGACTTTGGCTTGTGAGCCGGTGATTGGAATACTCTGAACACAGTTGGCAGGGTGTTTTCTTTTTTAATATTTCAAACACTCAGCCCCGACTTTCAAATACTCCTTTGCTGGCACCAGATGGGGAGTTGAGCGCTCCTGCCCAAACCCAGCCACAAAAACACAACCACCCTGCTTCTTTATTTCACAAAGCCTTCTGTCCTTGATTTTTCTCCCTTTTCTATATTTCTAATGCGCCAACTGTACCTTATCTTAGTCTCAGTCTGAGACCTGTTTAGTTTGGCCTGAGGAATGAGATCAAGTTAACCTTTTTTCTTTACTTTTTATGTGAAAATAGCAACATACAGTAAATACTTATAAAGAAAACAGTTCTTCTGGCAGGTTAGTTTTATTTATATATAATATGTGGGATAAAAGGAGACAGTGCTGCATTATGGGGACAGTTGCCTAGAGCGCTTGCCATGAAGGCTTGGTCTCCCATGGGGCTTTGGAGTACATGTGGAGTATGCAAGCATAGCCACCTGTCTCTTTTAAGAAAAGGCAGAGCCACTGCTGCAGCCGTGGGCACTCGGAGTCCAGGCACTTGGTTATTCAGCACTCTATGTAGACTCAGCATGAGTAACCTCTCTGCAACATGACCTGATATCATTCCCACTAAACCTTGATGATTGTAATGAGTAGCATTATTATGTGGCTCTAATAAAAGAAAGTTTAACTTTTTAGGACTATTTTTACGGAGCCCCCAAAGGGCCACAGTGGGAGTTTTTTACAGACGTTTCATAGCCTGCTGGAGCTTCTGTGAATCACTAAGGCAGTAAAAGGTTGTGTTTTTATGTTGCCTCTCTTTGCTGCATTATTCTTGATAAGAGACATGAGCTCTTTTGTCCATTCGCCTAACCTAGCATTTGCTTAAAGTTTTTGGCACTGAAGAGTAGAAACTGATGTTAAATATAGTGAAAGAACGTGAAAAAAGTTACTAGCTAGATTAATTTATATAGTAACTGCCTAAAACTAGCCCAGGCAGGCATCCAACTGCAAGTAGTTCCAGTGATTTTTATTTAACTTGTTATAAAGAATGCATTATTGTTAAACCCACAGCACATGCATGAGACCACCTGCATAAACTAAACCAAACCCAGAGGAAATATCATATCTATAGTCATATATTCAACACTATTTTCACTTTGTCTTCACTCTGTTGTTTGATAGTGTGGAGGTTAGGTCTGTGCGTCAAGTTCTTTCACGCAAAATGGGAATGCCGTTTTGTTATGGACCTTCCTTCACTTCTTCAAACTGTTGTACATATTTAAAATTGATCATGTGCATCTTAAAGTTGCTGTTATGCAATAACATGCAAACCTTTACTTCTTTTTTGCCTAAACTATCACTGCATTACACAGTATTAATACTTCTGTGGATTTCCACTAAGCATTGCTTCAAAAATAAACTGGTCACTGCCTGCCAGTAAAATCAAGACAGGTTGAGTTAAATGCCCATGTTAATTAAAATCCCTAATTACCCTAAATTGTTATGTAGCCATGATTATGCCTCTGCCAGCAATTTGAAGGCTGTCATTTAGCTGGCATAAAGATAGCAACTTAATATCCCCCAAGTGTCCCTGTGAGTCCTTGCCTCGGGGAAACAACCATCTGGCTGACCTCCCTGTTCAAAGTGGGCCAGTTCTTTTGAGAGGAGAATCAAATAATGACGGGTCCCTCAGTCTATTTGGCCACAGCTCGCTAAAGGCTCACCTTTGTGTCTTTTGAAGATGAAAGCAAGCACAACAAAATATTATGTATACACGTGTCACCTCCAGCAAACTGTGTTTTCAGCTTGTCTGTACTGTGATTGTTTTTTGAAGGTGTGGGCTGTATTGGATGTGTTGGAGAAATTCCCAAGGTGACGAGCCATTTATATCACAAGCCTCAGCTATAACTGAGGCTTGCAGCCACGGGCACAACCATCTGTTGAAGCTTGTGGAAATTAGGTCACTTAAATTATACTGATTTGGGGTAGATTTCTCCATAAAAGACATTTTCTGTGGGTGTCACTGAGACCAAATTCTTTCAGTACCTGCTGAGTCCTCGAAGGATAGCAGGTTTAAACAGGGTTTCATCATACTTTTGGTTATTACACTTGAAAGAGCTAAAAAAAGGGACTCATTCGGAGGCATGTTTGTCTGAGGAATCCAAAAACTAGAAGTTATAAAATTACCTGACAAACTTTACATTAACAGACTATACAATACAATCTGGATTCCTTACTATGATCAGCCCAGCCTAGTCTTTAACTTCAGTTTTAATTCATCTGACACCAAATCATACAGGATATCTCAGTGCAATTCACTCCATTTTTTAGAGAGAAACCCAACAATTCCCCTTTGAGCAACCACTTGGTGACAGTGTGAAAACAAAAAGAATCTAGCTTTGAACTAAAAACTGAATTAACCTCAAACAGAAGAAGTTTTAGGGCGAAATGTAAAATATATGTACATTTCTTTGCCATACAATAAGTAAGCTACCCTTCATTTAACAATTAACTTGAGAAAGTTAATGAGAAACAGGGAGTGTTGGGGAGGACTGAACCAATAAGCTCAACTCACTTCTGCTCATTATTAATTTTACCTCATTATAAGCTTTTTAATGTGGTCCTCCACAACAGCCCCTGCTTCTTATGTGGACGCTCAGACAGTTAATTGTCCATTCTGAGTATTTAACATCTGAGATCCGCTTCAGATAATGTGGAACTGCCATCTTTACCTTTATGTCAGTAAAATAAAGTATTCTTGTATATTGTTGCCTGCGTTTTATATATCATGGATTATGTATTTATATGTATATTTTTTGCATGGCAGAGCCAGCACAGCTTTGAAACTGACCTTTGAGGTATGTCAGGACATGAGGAAGCACATGGAGATCCTACCAAAGACCGGCTTCATCCAGGCTCAATCAAGCTTTAGTGCCCAACTGAAGTTCATCCCGAGGTAAGGAAGGACACACAGAGGATGCAATGATAATGGAACCACTGGAGCAGTGATAATCTTATTTTAGAATAACCTTGTTAAGATTCTCTCAGCCTTCTATGAAAGTGCAAACTGTTTCACCCCAAAGAGAAGTTGTAATATATTTTGATCCTGGCTTACAGTTTTGTGTAATCTGCTTCTTAAAAAGGGTAAACAGTTTTTCCGTGGAAAAGCTGCTGTAGATTATGTACGCTGCACACTTAATGTTTTAAAAAAGCAGGTGATTATAGTAAAGAAGAAATCGATACACTGTTATGACGGGACAGTTCATGTTCATTTTAAAAGCTTCTAAGAACAAAAACTACAACTGTTAACTTAGCTAACTTATCATATTAGCCTACTGTTGGTGTTAGCTATTTTGCACATACGAAAACAGTTCAACAAAAGTCAACATGCATATCAATTTCTGTGAACCAGATAAATCTTATTACTTAATACTGCTTTACCTGTTTAGCTGATATCTTTCCACTTATGCCCACTGACTAGGGATTATAGAAAGCTAGATCACAGGTTGTTGAAGTGAACAATGTTAACAGTGCTCTCTTGCTCTCCAGGCTGCAAAGTGGGAAATAAACTACCGGTTTTCTCTCACTCTGTTTTATCAACTACTATCCATGTACCTTGGGCAACTTAGCTTCCATCTGTGCCTCACAGTCAGTGCTATAGTGGATTAATGTGCACTACAATTATTAAGTATAACACAGCCCACCATCTCAACCTTCATTTGCCAGTTTAAGCCACCTGGTTTAATAGCTTTTGTGGCGGAAAACAATGAGCAAAATAGTTAAAGAAGCTGTGATGAGCACTCACTGCGTCGATTTTACACAAAAATTTATGCTAGCTTACTTTTTGTCTATAAATCGTGTCTCCCTGTGTTGTGGCTGGCTACAGAAATCTGTTGTGATATTGTTACTAGTTTACTACAACGCTTTTTTGACACAATTCCCTTTTCCAAAGCAAGTAAATGGAGGAGTCTTACAGAGTTACAAAAGGCAACAATCTGAAGCCTGTCAGCAGCCAGCAGGTATAAAAGAGTTTGTACAACACACCTGCCCTCTAATCGCAGGGGCATGAAGGCTTGTGATAATGGTTTCTAATGACTTTGAAGGATGTGGTAATTCTTTCAAGAACAATACAGGCTCTATATTTAGATGGAGAGGCAGGAGCTGAACTGTGGTTTGAATGCCAGGAGAGCGGACAAGGGGACCCCCAGGGCAAATATGAGAGGCGTACGGTAAAAACTCTGTGTGGGTGTCAGTATTCTTCTGCCCACACTCCTTTTTTTTCTCGTTTCACAGTTCAACAGCCTTGCGTATTGATAACTGAAAAGACATTTGTGTATGCATAAATAAATAAATAAATAACAGGAGGTCATTTTCGTTGCAAATGACAAAAGTTAAGGGCATGCAGTGGTCATCATACAGTAGGGTGGCAGTAGAGGAAAGTGGGAAAATGTCAGTAATCTGGCTTAGCGAATCAGCAGAGGTTTTTAATGCGAGGATTAGAGTCCAGCTTTACTTGTGCTGCTGCTGAGATGGTGCATCCTTCATGAGCACTAACACAACTACAGCTTCACCCCCTCCCTACTCTCTCTGTATCACACTTCATCACTCCATCTCTCTCTCTGTCTCTCTCTCCTGCTTCTGTGGCGTCTTCTCCCACTCGCTCACACATACTTCTCTTTTTCCTGGCCTATCACCTCTGTGCTTAATTATACTTCTTTCTCTTTGGGTTTTTCTCTCTCTCTGCAGTCCTCTGTGTTTCTGTGCTCTTTCACTTCTCCAGCTCTAACTCTGCATTTATTCTGCCTCTTTTTGTTAGTATCAAGCTCCTCTCATCCCTCAATGCATTCACGATTCACCACTGCTTATATGATGGTCCTGAATCTGCTTATATAACCTAAGACACCAGACATAGATCCGTGTGCTCTGAGTGGCCAACACTGTTTTCACTGTTCTCATAGTGGTAAATCGTGTTTATTTGTAGATTGTACATCCAATATTAGAACATTAAGCTCAGCACGGTAAATTCTGAGAACAGAATATCACTAAGTGTAAGTCTGGCATTAAATTGTTTTGCTGTGTTGCTTCATTTTTCAGTCTAACATCCTGTGTTTATTATCCTTATTTTCTCTCAGGTAATTATGTCACAGTCTGATACACAGACTCTATATTAACAAGATAATATCCTGTTTAGAATCAGTTCTAAATGTGTTTATTTATTATTTTTGTCAAGGAAAAAGGTATATGATCACAGATCAAGACAAAATGAATACACCTTTTACTGAATGTACACTTGTATTATGTCATTGATAGGTAGCAGATGGTATGTGCATTTTTTAAGATTTTGCTGCATAGCCAAAACCTGACTGCCAGCTGTATACAAGGCATGTTGTATTGTTTTTTGTAGCAAGAGTGTGGTGCAATTGGAAGCGGCAGTTTCAACCAAGTGGCCTCAATTAGTTGTTTTTATTACAGATCTAACAAGGACATGTTTGGTATAATGTGCAAGTAGATTGCAAGTTGAGTGAAGTACAAAAACAATTTGTGGCTCTAACCCTAAGTGTCACAGTCTGGCTGGCAGACCGTGGGGATATGGGGAAAGAGGACCCAGGCGCAGAGCTCTGTGTGCAAACAGTG